AACTCTGGCAACTCAAAAAGCCAGACTGTCTTCTGAGCTCCAGATGTCTGCACTACTTCTCCAGTAATGGTTTTTAACCAGGCTGAAATGGCTTGAAACGATATGAATAGGAACAGAGATCACTGAGATTCAGGAGAAAATCAAAACCCAATCCAAGCATTCTAGGAATACAATAAAATGATACAGGAGATGAATGATGAAATGATCATTTTAAGAAAGAGCCAAACTGATCTGATTGAGTTGAAAAACTCGCTTAAAGAATTTCAGAATATAATCAAAAGTATTCATAGCAGAATTGACTGAGTGGGGGAAAGAATCTCAGAGCTTAAAGAGCAAGTTATCTGAAATAACTCCGACAAAAATAAGGAAAAAACATTAAAGAAGAATAGATAAAACCTCTGAGAAATATGAGATTATGTAGAGAGACAAAATCTATGACTGGCATCCTTGAAAGAGAGGGAAAGAATTAAACAACTTGCAAAATATATTTTAGGATATCTTTCATGAAAATTTCCCCAACTTCACTAGAGAGACAAAGTTGGAGGAACACTTAAATTTGGGAAATACAGAGAACCCTTGTGAGATATGACACAAGGTGGCCATCCTCAACACATAATAATTAGATTCCCCACAGTCAGAATGAATGAAAAAATGTTACAAGGAGCTAGAGACAAGGGACAGGTACCCTGTAAAGAGAACCCCATCAGGCTAACAGCTTAGCTTTTAGCAGAAACCCTGTAAGTCAGAAAAGATCGGGTCTTATCTTCAGCATTCTTACAGAAAAGACATTCAACCCAAGACTTTCATATCCAGTCAAACTAAGCTTCATACATCAAGGGGACATAACACCCTTTTCGGTCAAGCAAATGCTAAGGAAAATTGTTACCACCAGACCTGCCTTACAAGAGGTCCTGAAGGGAGTGCTAAACATGGAAAGGAAAGACCATTACCAGCACTACAAAAACCTTTGTATTACTAGTAAATGCCTGGGAATGCCATTGCCCTAGACATAGAAAGGTGAGTGACCTTCTGAGAGGGTCCATCCCTACAGCATGTCCACAGGCAGTGTGGGGCCTCGGGGCTCCCCTGGTAGCTGAAAGCACTGAGGAATTACTAGTCTGCCCAATGAGTTCAAACTGAAAAGTGAGTACTAATCACAGCAACAATAAAACTATTATTTTTTTAAAATCGGATAACATTTTATATTCATCATCTTTTGCCCCAGTTTGTTCCTTGGTGGTGATATGCACTTTCAGCCTCAGGGTCTAGAGAAAAGAGAAGGTCTCTGAGGAATTTTAGCACTAGGGCAAATCTTATAAATGGGGATTTGCCAGAGAGTAGGGGCAGCATTTGGGAGGCTGGCAGCAGGGCTGAGAGGATGAGATGGACAGGAGAGATAAGTGAGAGAGGAGGCACAGACTCCAGGGAGGGTCTGGGAATGTGCTGCATAGCACAGACAGGAAGGGTACACAGAGAGAATGAACAGGTATTTGTCGGGAAACCCAGAGACACAGCACAGAAGATGGGTGGCCAGAGCCAGGGTTTCTCCATATTGCCCAGGCTGGTCTCCAACTCCTGGCCTCCAGTCATCTGGAGTGCTGAGATTACAGGCGTGAGTCACCTCACCAGCCTTTTTAGTAATTTTTAAACCCCCCCTTTTTTTTTTTTTATTTGGACCGGAAAGTGAGATGAGTCACGGTGCCAGCCTTTTTATTAATTGTTTAAAATGGAATGCTTCATGAATTTGCACATCATTTAAACCACTTTTATGTCAAACATGGACTGGAAAGTGAGATGTCTCTAGGATACCCAGATTGAGGTCTTTCTTGACAGTCATCAGAAAAACATGCCCAAACCTCTTCAATTTTCTTTTCCAGCTCATTGGGAAACGCTGGTGTTATCAGTGTTTTTTCTGGTCTCTTCAAAGTTAAACCCCCTTTGGAAGCAACTGAAGCCCTGTTTGGGAGAGTCCTAGTCTACCCATCCACACCACGAGTGGTTGTGTAATGGGGACAGTGGGCTTGGGAAGTGGTGGAGGTCTCAACAGGGCTCAGGTTGTTTGGGATCTCGTATTGTAAGACTAGGGTTCAGGGAAGATGACACAGGCTGCTTGCATTGACCCACAGTTTGTTTAACAATAGTTCTGGGCCTTGAGGTCCCTGCAGAGCTCCCTAATTTCAGCCCCCTGAGGGCTCATTAAGACTTTATTCAGATCTGACTCTGTCACCCCAGGACACGTTCTTTAAACATTTCCCAGAGCTCTCTGTATCCCAGGGTGGGAAACTTCTTACTTGCCTCCATCCTCACACAATGAGCAGCCAGCAGACCCAGGATGAATAGGGCGCTGTCCATGGTGCTGAACACGTGCCTCGGGCCCCGTGCTGGGAGGTAGGTGAGCTGTCAGGCAAAGGCAGGAAACATGAACATCAGAGGACAGGCATGGAGTGAGGTGCCTCCCACTATCCACGGGTTTCCATTATTGATTTCCTTTTAAACTATTCACTGGATAACAAATTTGCTTGTCATCCTATATGGCCGAAGTCATTGTATAAAACATCTTTCACAGGGTTTTTTACACAGGCCAGAAATGGACATTCAGACCACGTGCAGACTCTTTGCTGAGTCAAATGTCATCCACTGCCTCCTGCTTCATTCTTAAGCTAGGAAGTATCTCTTCATTCATTCACTTCTCTATAGATTCTCCCTTGAGATCTTGTGAATCCTTAGTTTTTCATGACCAAATGCTTTCTTTTCTTTCATTAACATATGGTATCTGGTTTTCTGGGAAACTTTTTATTTGACAAATGTGATTAAGGATCAAGAATCTCTACATGAATTCTCCATGGAAAGACCGATTTCATTGAACTAGACTTTTGGTGGTTGTTGTGATTAGATGCCTGAAGGAAATATTGCTCTTATGTGACATTCAAGAAGAAAAATGTGACACTTGGCCAGGTGCGGTGGTTTACGCCTGTAATCCCAGCACTTTGGGACACCAAGGTGGATGGATCACTGAAGTCAGGAGTTTGGGACCAGCCTGGCCAACATGGCGAAACCCTGTCTCTACTAAAATTACAAAAATTAGCAAGACACAATGGCCCGCACCTGCAGTCCCAGGTACTCGGGAGGCTGAGGCTGGAAAAAATTGCTTGAACCCAGGAGGCGGAGGTTGCAGTAAGCTGAGATCATGCCACTGCTCTCCAGCCTGGGTGGTGACAGAGTGAGACTCCATCTCAAAAAAAAAAAAAAAAGAAGAAGAAGAAAAGAAAGAAAAATATGATGACACTTAAGGTGAGTAAAAAGGTGTGTGGTTCTATACTCCTCCGGTATTTCAGTGTACAAACTGGATGCTAAAATTATTTGTCAGAATGCCTGTGAAGGGGCCAGGGGAAATAAAATGGCTTTAAGTGTTTCCATCACAGAGATATCCATGTCAGGGATAAAACCTATCACTGTCATGCTGACAAGCACTACAAACAGAAGTAGTCTGTTCAGATTCTCATCCCAAAAGCGTCTTAGATTCACACCCCAGCTCTGCCAGATACTAACAGGGATAATGGGTGGCCCATTTCCATAAATTCCCTCCATGCTTCTTCACAATTCATGCCACTTCTTTTACTTTGTGCCTCAGTTTCCTTACTTACAGGAAGGATCCAAACAGTCCACGACATTTTAGAAAAGTTCAAATGGATAAATGTACACACAGTGCTGAGAACAGGGCCAAGGACTGCTCAGAAGTACCCAATGTTATTACCCTACCTGGACCTCAGCCCTGAGGGATTTAACCCTCTGCCTCCCCACACATCCTGCCCCTCCTCACCTCACCCCAGTCTCAATGCCTCTCTCTGTCCCACTATGTGATCACTGCTGTCTGTCTTGGGGCCTCTGCTTTGACTGTTCATCTTGCCTGAAATTCTTTCCTCCATGGGTCATGCCACAGATGGTTCTGAAGATCTCAGCATCAATGTCACCTTCTCCAAGGGACCTTCTGGGACACATCACTCACCTGCCAGCAACTGCAACTTTCTACCTCTGCATTTTTTCCCCAGTACTTTACATAAACATGGATCGATTGTGACAGAACTGTTTCTCACTCTGTGTTGTGAGAACTGTGAGGTGAGGAACTCAGTATGTGTGACTTGTAGCTGAGAAGTGATGCCTCAACTTTCTTATCTGTAAAATAGACATTGGACCCCCAGGGGTTTGTAAGTAAACGCTGATGATGTATTAAAGCTCGTTGTCACAGTGTCTGGCAAATGGCACACTCTGGAAATGTGGTGTTTGGTTCTTAATGGTATTAATGTTTATCATGTGATCCTAGCACTGACGACTTTTCTCAGCGCAGGGGACTCCTCTTAGGTTCACACTCTGAGAAGCCTCGCTCCACCCTGCACTGTACACCACGTCCACCAGGGGGTGCAAGTGCCCCAACAGCCCTGCATGGGGCCACTTTCGTCCTTAAGGAGGGCAACTTGCTCCCTGTCCCACATCCTTGTGGGTTTGCTGCAAGTTCCTGGAGCCTTGTGATTGTGACGGGATTTTAATGCACTGTTTCCTGGAGAACCTGGGTGTCAATCTGGAAAACTGTGTATATGGGACCAATGGATAAGACATGCTGCTTCTGGATGCCAGAGAAGGGCTCCAAAGCCACACTTTTTTACAATCCCCAAACTCCAAGCTCCTATAACTGCTGTAAATACAACATACAACATGGAAGATTGCTTTGTGCTTTACCTCCCGATAGTGGTAAGGGCCCAAGGAGATGAAATGTCTCTAAGAGGGCACACAGGGTGAGCCTAGGAATTTTGCCTGCCTGGCACTGGCATAGGGATAATGGGTGACCCAGATTCATAAATCCCGTCATGCTTCTTCAGAATCATAAGAAGAGAACCAGTCACCCTACTCAGGGCAGATCCAGGCTGACTGTTAAAGAAGAGACAGAAGGAGAAGCCATATTGATCAAAGGATTAAAATTTTAAAGCACCTTTTCCTTGCTAAATTATATATATATATATGTGTGTGTATATATAGTATATGTATAAATATATATGTGTATATGTAAATATGTATATATATATAAATATATGTGTGTATATATATGTATGTATGTGTGTGTATATATATATATGTGTGTGTGTGTGTGTGTGTGTGTGTGTATATATATATATATTTGGGATGAAGTCTTGCTTTATCACCCAGGCTGGAGTGCAATAGGACAATCTTGGCTCACTGCAACCTCCATTTTTGCCTCCTGGGTTCAAGCAATGCTCCTGCCTCAGCCTCCCAAGTAGCTGGGATTCCAGGCACCCACAACCACGTCCAGGTAATTTTTGTATTTTTAGTAGAGACAGCGTTTTGCCATCTTGGTCAGGCTGGTCTCAAGCTCCTGACCTCAGGTGATTCACCTGCCTTAGCCTCAAAGTGCGGGGATTACAGGTGTGAGCCACTGCACCTGGCCCACCTGATCTGGAAAATCACTGGCCCCATATTCAAGTGATTTTAAATATGGGGCCCAGAAGGGAGAGTTCTGGGGACAAGTTGACAATAGAAGTTCTAGCACAGTCCACCCCATTCAAAAATAAGCATCTATTGACACTCATTGTAGACATTTTCAACTTCCAAATAAAGCTGGCAGCAATACTATTTTCCACCTAATGTGATGCAACTATTAGTTTTATGACCCAAAGACCTTTAATCTTCTCTACAGAAGAGAGATTTGAAAATGCATTGTCCATCTCCCAGATGATTAACAGCCTCTCTTACCATTTCATACTGTAAACACCAAGGATCAACCAATATAAACTAATATTACATAGAGGGGTATGAAGGCACTGAGACAAGCAGCAAAGGAATCAGTTAATATAGAAAATATTGGCCGGGCGTGGTGGCTCATGCCTATAATCCCAGCATTTTGGGAGGCCGAGGCGGGTGGATCACGAGGTCAAGAGATTGAGAGCATCCTGGTCAACATGGTGAGACTCCGTCTCTACTAAAAATACAAAAAATTAGCTGGGCATGGTGGTGCGTGCCTGTAATCCCAGCTACTCGGGAGGCTGAGGCAGGAGGATCACTTGTGCCTGGAAGGTAAAGGTTGTGGTGAGCTGAGATTGTGCCACTGCACTCCAGTCTATGTGACAGACTGAGACCATGTCCGAAAAAGAAAAAGGAAATATGTTCACATCAAAGTGAGGAATATTATATAAAAGTCTAACTTAGTCCTTGTTTCAGTAACTGGCCTTGAGGCTAAAGCTGGCATTTAAAAATTTCTTCAAGCCAGACACAGTGGCACATTCAATTCCAGCTACTCAGGTGCTGAGGTGGGAGGCTCAGTTGAGTTCAATTCAAGACCAGCCTGAGCAACATAGCAAAACTCCACCCAAAAAAAAATGTCTTTCACTATCCATTCCATACCCTATTTGCTCTCCGCAAACACCTCATCTGGTTGTGACTGTGAAGGCAAATTTATGACAGTCCTGCGACGCCAGAGGAATGTCGAAAAGCAATCCTTTAAGTCAATAGTAAGTAAAGGCCAGGATTTTCATATCATCAAGTGGGGAGGGAGGCCTGGTTGTAAAGTTTCCATGGGCTGAATGACTCTGTTAACTGCTCAGAAGTCAGGAAGCATTTGCCATTTAAACTGTAAATTTTGGGAGTGAGAGAATCCTGACTCCGGAAGCGTTTCCCAGTCGTTAGGAATCAGCCGTTGCCCTTTTGCAATAGATTTTACGGAAGCACGGACAACAGGGGAATTCGTTTCATATTGCTGAACAGATTTTTCAAAGTCCTTAAGAAAAGGAAGCATAAAGATTTGCCAAGTAACAGGATGTGCTAAGCTTTGATTAGGATTAAAGGGTCAGGTTTAAGGATGACTGCGAAAGCCGGCAGCCGCTGTTCCAGTGGGACCTGAGGCTGAGCCGGCAGAGCAGCGCCTGGGGGCTGTGGAATGGGGTAGATTGTACGGGCACTTCTGGCTGAGGCTGGTTCCCCCCCACCCCCGTTAGCGGCAGGCACATCAGCATTAGGAAGTGGTGGAGGGGGGAATGGGGGGCAGGTTTATTATTGACTGCTGGCATTCTATTATTTCCCTGTAATGGGGGGTGAACTATAACCGGATAAGCCTGTGTAGTTTTAATAGGATCCCCTGTAGTGACTTGAGAAACAGAGCAGGACTGCACAGTATGAGAAGAGTTAGAAGAAATATTGGGGGTGCCTGGATTAATGCTGAGGGAGCCAGTGGGGGTGCACATCTCTGTGTCATGACAGCTTTTAGGGGCGATCATCTCAGCACCATGATAGCATCTGGGGGCGCTCAACGCCACACCCTGACATCTGGGGGTGCTCAACTCTGCACCATGACAGCATTTGGGGGTGCTCAACTCTGCACCATGACATTTGAGGGTGCTCAATTCCGCACCGTGACAGGTTTTGGGGGCGCTCTGGTCTGTGCCAGCAGGTGGAAAAGGAGAGTTTTGGGGGACGTTCTGGCCCGGGCCGGTAGGTGGAAAAGGAGGGGTAGAAGGAGAGACAGGAGAGTGCAAATGCATTTCCTCATACCTGTGGGTGTCCTTTTGGACCGAGTTTTGTTCCTGGGGACCCGACTTTCTCGGTTGTTGATACGTCACATTATTGGGAACAGCTACAACCGTTATAGGCGCCAAAGAAGTCATAGGAGAAGCAGCAGAATAAATAGGGGGTTGTAGTTCAGTAATAAGATCAGAAACGGGTGGAGGCAACTGAGTGGCAGCAATGGGAGAGGTGGGAGAGGTAGTAGTGTCAGGCTGAGTAGCAGGTTAAGGTGATGGAGTGTCAGAGAGGCTGGTTAAGACCTCTTCAACTTCTTATGCAGAAAGTAAAGGAAAATCATCCATAATAAAGTCATCTGATGGCAAAGTTTCAAGCACCATTCGAACAGCGGCCCAAGTTGCTAGAGCCAAGGGAGCTGCTGCATTCCCCACCTTTCTAGCTATTTTAAGTAGACTACCTGTATTATTCCAGTCCTTTAATTCCAGAGATCCATCAGCTGGAAACCACAGGCATAAAGGTTCTACTAATTCAAAGAGCTGAACAAGCTTGTCTGAAGGCACGGACACTCCCCCATGTCTTAGAAGAGTTTTAAGAAAGATAGGAGGCATGCTTGGAGCCGGCTTGTCCCATGGTTACCCCAAGATATCTGTGAGCATCACAAGGAATAAAACCACCTTTCTTACCAGACACCCAGGGTTCCTGAGCTGAATTTGTTCATTGAAGAAACTCCAACAGCTAGGCTGAGACACAGCAATAAGGAACCCACAAGTTGGGCACCAGATGTAGGGCTGTTGGCCCCACAGGGTTGTGGGGTGTCCCTTATGCTGTGCTGAAGTGCAGGATCCAAGAAGCAAAGAGACAGGACACTGAAGAACTGGTGAAGAGCAGCTGGACCCGGTGGTGAAGGTGTGGGGGATGTAACCTATGAGAGGAGATCGGCGAGGCCCCAAATGCCCAGAAGCATCTGTATTTATTAGGTACAAGCAGGGGGAAGGGTCATAAGTGAGGTCATCATCTATAGGCTTAGTGATAGGGCATACATAATCACGTGAGTCACGAGCGAGGTGCCCACCCCATTATGTCACCTGGGCAGAGAGGTGGGCCGTGTGCAGTAGGGAGTCGTGCCGTGTGCAGTAGTAGAGGGTCGTGTACAGAAAAGGGGTCCACCCTCATTAGGTCACTGAGGCAAGGAGGTGGGCTGTGTGCAACAGGTGTCGTGCGCAACACTTATCTGGGAGGCTGGAGACTGCAAAGTGTTTCTAATAGAAAGACACTGTAAGCCAATGCACTGGGAGCTGACAGACTTGTGCTATTCTCTTAAGATATTTATGGGAGGATGATTTGAGCTAGCACAGAAGTGAGAAAAGACTGACAGTGTATACAGCTGCTGTGACTAGTCACACCAGAGGGGTTCTTCTCCCTTGGTTATTTGCAGAATCTCAGGCCTGAGGCCTACTTCCCACAGGAACTGGAAGCAAGGTACTACAACTCCTTTATCAGGAGGAGAGGCTCTTGCTCCAAGCCTGCCATACAGCGTATGCCCTTTTGGGCAGGGACTCCACCGCCTGGGTCTTTGGTTCTTGTCCTGGTCTGGCTATTTTCCCATGTACTGCTTCTGTTCTGTGACTGCTCTAGGCATTCCTCCTGCTACAAACTACTATATGGTTATATGGAAGGATTCTATAAATCAGCACTAAATGTGTCGGTACAGCTCCGACTACATCCATTATATGGTTACATAGAAAGAGTATATGGAACTAAGTATGATTTTATATATATAGCTATATACAGTAAGCAGTAAGTTATATGATTATACAGAAAGATTATATGGGGCTAAGTATGATTATATACACAAGCTAGATATAAGTAAGCAGTGAGTTATACCTCAGGCACTAATTGTGCCTGGGGTCTGCACAGTTCTCCTTCCTCGGTGCCCATGGCGGGTGTTACCCACTTTAGGGCACCTAACTCTGCCTGTCGCATAGTTTTGAAATGTTCCCGGGTTTTCTGTTGCCAATTTTGCACGTCATTTTGCCACACTATAGCTGAGCTTTAAGTGTTTTTCTGAACCATCTGTAAAGACAGTAGTGGTGGGAAGCAAGGGCTCAGAGACAACAATGGATACAGATTTAACAGGCACAGCTGAAAACGTTCAGGAGCTTAGAGGCTGGGAAATGGAAGCTGATGCCAATAAAGTCGGCCATTGCGACCTGCCAGTCAAGATCACAAGCTAAGAGTGTGAACCTTTTCCTTGCTTAATGGTAGGAAAAGAGTAGCAGGGTCATATCTCAATAAATGAACGCAGTGTTGGCACCCCTTTATGAGAAGAGAAGCTATTGAAGCTGCAGTTTTTCATATGTTTACAGGGACTATGGGACAGGTCAATGGCACAGAAAATACAGAAATGGCAAAAGATAAAGCCTACCTGTTAAACTACGGCATGGATGGGATGGATATTTTAAGTGATTTTAACCATATTTTGGCCCTTGAAAGTCATTAGAATGTGACTGCACGTGGCCAGGATCATAAACCTGCATTGAGTTAGCTTAAGTGTGAAAAAAAAAAAAAAAGAAAAAACTTTAAAAAATGTCCTTAGGTATTGGCCATTTTCCTGCATCAGCCTTTACCTGGAATGTCTTAGAATTGAGTTTGGGAAAGCACAGCTATGGCCCGTTTCTCCCCATCTGCTCCGGGCTCCTTGGGCAGCCTCTCTTTTTAATAGCCTGCCCCTGTTCCTGCCCTTACCCTGAGAGGAAGGAAGACTACAAGTGGCAGTAAGAGGCTAGAGAATGGCCAGGTGATAAAGGACACAACACAGAGCATACTAGCGCCCCAGTGGTCAAAATAGCAACATTAGTAAAATGATCTTGCCCATATCCTCTTTGTAGGCAGCAACCTTCTTGCTCCCATAACCCTAAATCTAAGGCTCCTTGATCAGGAAACCAAGGGCATTCCTGCCGCAGTAAGATCATGAGCTTGTGTAGAGCTCCAGGCTCTGCAGTGTGCTGGGCAGCCTTAAGTATCTGTTCCACTGTTTTAAAAAAATGCTTTCCGCTCTTTGGTCATTTCTTGACCCATGATAACCCAGCCCCTGCTATTTTACGCATGTGTCCCATCCTTCTGATGGGAGTCAGGACTGTCCCCTACCTGGATCCCCCAAAAATCGATGAGCTCTCCTCCTTCACTCATAAATTCAAGGCGATCGTGTCGGGGTCACCACTTGCAGAGCTTATAGCTTACAGTGAATGCCGAGAATGAAGTACTCAGACAGTTCCAGCAGAGCAGGGCTAAGGGGTAGCTCTTCTGAGAGTCTGCCCCAGCATCCGTCCACCAAGTATTTAATTGAAAGCGCTTATATTAACTACAAGAATACACTAGATGGTCATTTGAGGTGAGTTACTGAGGTACCTGTGACCTTGTATCCACTCAAACTGCATTCTCAGGTGGCTGTTTTCAGCGTTCCTTATCACACAACACACTCCACTCCCTGTCCTATTTTCAGGGTCAAGGAGTTTCATTCCCACACACAAATAACATACACACAGTGCCTCAGTGTTTTTCCATGCCCCGACCTCAAATGCCATGTACATAAACGTGAATATGCTGCCGTCACCCCCCCGCGCGCCACAACTTACCTCACTACAAGTCAGTGTGCTTTTGTATTTTTCTCTAGCCATATCTTCGAAGATCTAGGAGGAGGATAGATAGAGAACTGAATTTAAATAAGGCAGTGGTTTTGCTAAACGAGCCTTACCAAACATGGAGAGACAAAGGACAATGGAAATCAGCCGGCTGTTATTATAATGATTAAGCAAAGAATTTAAGGTAGATAAACAAGTGTTATAAAAGCCTTCTTGAATCAGAAGTCAGGCTGGGCGCGTCTAGGAGGAGGATAGATAGAGAACTGAATTTAAATAAGGCAGTGGTTTTGCTAAACGAGCCTTACCAAACATGGAGAGACAAAGGACAATGGAAATCAGCCGGCTGTTATTATAATGATTAAACAAAGAATTTAAGGTAGATAAACAAGTGTTATAAAAGCCTTCTTGAATCAGAAGTCAGGCTGGGCGCGGTGGCGCACGCCTGTAATTCCAGCACTTTGGGAGGCCAAGGCGGGTGGATTACCTGAGGTCAGGAGTTTGAGACCAGCCTGGCCAACGTAGTGAAACCCCATCTCTAAAATTCTGCACCCCTATTCTCTCCTTGCTAATCTTACTCAGCTTCCTTCCTCCTTCCTAATCACCTTAATTTTAATCATGATTAATCTTTAACAGCTGCTACATCCTTTGCCCAACTGGTAAACTTCACCACATTCTCAGACTCCTAAACAAACTTCCCCCCATTACTATTTTTCTGAGAGCTTTTATCATAATGGGTGTTAAATTTTGTTAGATGCTTCTTCAGCATCAACTGATGTGATCATGTCATTTTTCTTCTTTAGCCTGTTAATATGGTGCATTACATTGATAGTGATTTTTGAAATATTCTGCCAGGACTACATTCTAGAAGAAAACCTACATAGTCATGATGTGTACTTTTTTTTTTTTTTTGAGACAGAGTTTCGCTCTTGTTACCCAGGCTGGAGTGCAATGGTGTGATCTCGGCTCACCGCAACCTCTGCCTCCTGGGTTCAGGCAATTCTCTTGCCTCAGCCTCCTGAGTAGCTGGGATTACAGGCACGCACCACCGTGCCCAGCTAATTTTTTGTATTTTTAGTAGAGATGGGGTTTCACCATGTTGACCAGGATGGTCTCGATATCTTGACCTCGAGATCCACCCGCATCGGCCTCCCAAAGTGCTGGGATTACAGGCGTGAGCCACCGCGCCCGGCCCGTAATTATTTTTTATATTGCTGAATTTCATTTGCAAATATTTTGTCAAGAATTTTTTACTTTTCTTTAAAGATGGAGTCTCACTCTGTTGCCCAGGTTGGAGTGCAGTGGCATAATCTCAACTCACTGCAACCTCCACCTCCTGAGTTCAAGTGATTCTCCTGCCTCAGCCTTCTGAGTAGCTGGGATTATAGGTGTGCACCAACACGCCCAGCTAATTTTTTGTATTTTTAGTAGAGATGAGGTTTCACCATGTTGACCAGGCTGGTCTCAAACTCTTGACCTCAGGTGACCCGCCTGCCTTGGCATCTCAAAGTGCTGGTATTACAGGCATGAACCACCAAGCCTGGCCAAGGATTCTTGCATAGGGATACTCGTCTACAGTTCTATTGCTTGGTTGTCATTGTTGCCTTTTTTTTTTTTTAGATGGAGTTTCACTCCTGTTGCGCAGGCTGGAGTGCAATGTGGCGATCTCAGCTCACCGCAACCTCCACCTCCCAGGTTCGAGTGATTCTCCTGCCTCAGACTCCTGAGTAGCTGGGATTACAGGCATGCGCCCCCAGGCCTGGCTAATTTTGTATTTTTAGTAGAGACGGGGTTTCTCCATGTTGGTCAGGCTAGTCTCGAACTCCCAACCTCAGGTGATCCTCGCACCTCAGCCTCCCAAAGTGCTGGGATTACAGGTGTGAGCCACCACGCCCTGTGTTTGTCTGTCTCTTCATGGTTTTGGTAGTAGAGTAATTTAATTCCACAAAATAAATTGAGACGTATTCCTTCCTATTCTATTCTCTGAATGAGATTGTGCAGAATTGGTATTAAGTTCCCTTTAAACATTTGGTAGATCCTCAAGTCAACGATCTGGGCTTGGAGATTTCCTTTTTAGAGGTATTTTAAATACTGAACTCAACTTCCTTACTAGTTGTAAGGCTATTAAAATGATGTATTTCATATTGGGTGTGTTGTGCTCATTTGTGTTTTTAAATGGTTGGTCCATTTCTTCTAAGCTGTTAAATTGTGGAGAGTCATTCCTAGTTTTCCATTATTATTCTTTTAGTGTCTGTGAAACCTATATTGATATCTCCTGTGTCACTATTGATATTGATAATGTCTTCCGTTTTTGATACTTTTGCCAAAATTTATACATTGATGTTTTGAAAAAAATTAACTCTTTATTTCATTGATTTTCTCTACTGTTTTTCTGTTTTCAGTTTTCATGGCTCCTGCTCTCCTCTATTATTTCCTTCCTTCTTGTTTTGGGTGTATTCTGCTCTTTTATTTGTTTCCTAAGTTCTTGATGTGGGAGCTCAGATTAGTGATTTTTCCTTTTTTCTTTCTTTTTAAAAATTTTTTTGACAAAGTTTTACTCTTGTGATCCAGGCTGGAGTGCAATGAGCTGAGATATCAGCTCACTGCAGCCTCTGCCTTCTGGGTTCGAGCAATTCCCCTGACTCAGCCTCCCTAGTAGCTGGGATTACAGGCACCTGCCACCATACCTGGCTAATTTTTGTATTTTTAGTAGAGATGGGGTTTCACCACAGTGGCCATGCTGGTCTCGAACTCCCATCCTCAGGTGATCCATCCGCCTCAGCCTCCCAAAGTGCTGGGATTACAGGCATGAGCCACCGTGCCCAGCCTGATTTTTCCTTTTTTCTAATACAACTATTTAGTGCAATAAGTTTCCCACTTAGCATTGCTTTATATATTTTCACAAATTTTGATATATTGTATTGTCATTTCATTAAGTTAAATATATTTTTAAAAATCTTTGATACCGAGAACCAGCTCTACTGTAGAGACCCCCACCCAGACAGCGCTGGAGGAATTGAGAAGCAGACACCCAGATAGAACAGCAAAGTGGGTCTATCTGGGGGGCCCAAGAGCCTTTCAAGCTGAGAGCCTCGGGGGGCTGACAGTATTCCAGGCTGAGGGCCTCGAGCAGACTCTGACCCCCGCATTTATTCTCTCTGAATACGTGATGATTACTAACAAACAGATGTTCCGTATTTTCCTATAACACAAAATATACCAAGTAGGCAGCTGGTGCCCATTTACCACTGATCACCGACAAACGAAAAAGTATTCTCCACGAGGGAGTCACAGGGGCAGGGTCAGATGGCCCGTGCTTAAAGAATTGTTTTAACTGGTGTATATTTATACATTATCCTGCCACTTTAGAATACCCCAAGTAGTTTTCTACTTGGGCGGGGGCGGGTGGCTAGGTTCTCCTTGCCTTCGTTCTTCCTAGCAAACAATACATTCCATCATACTCTCAGCATTCCTCAACACTTCGAGACTCATCTTTAAACCATGAGTTATTTAGAGATGTGTTCCTTAGCTTCTAAGTGCTTGCAGATCTTTCTAGAATCTGTAGTTGGATCCAATTACGGTCAGAGAACATACTCTGTTAAACTTCAATACTTTAGAACTTGTTGAGGTTTGTTTTATGGCTCTAGATAGAAGCCAATCCTCCATCACCATTTACAGTGACATCAGAGTAACCAATACCTAGAATCAAATCTAAAGACAGGTGAGAGATCTCTGCAAAACTCTGCTGAAACATATTAACGAAGACCTAAATAAATGGGAAACATCCCATGTTTATGCTTTGGAAGACTCCATGTAATAAAGATGTCAATGTCCCCCAAATCGATCTATAAATTCAAGGCAAATTCAATAAATACAACAGCAAGGTCTTGTATAAGTTAACAAACTGATTCTAAATTTTATCAGAAAATGATGGCCAGGTGTGGTGGCTCACACCTGTAATCCTAGCGCTTTGGGGCAAGGCAGGAGGATCACTTGAGCCCAGAAGTTCAAGACTAGCCTGGACAACACAGTGACACCCTGACTCTAGTTGCACAAAAAATTTTTTCAATTATCAGAAAATGGTAAGACAGCCAGTACAATTTTGAAGAAACTAAACAAAGTTATGGACTTACCCTAACAGATCAGGAATTTTTTATAAAACTATAATGAATTAGAGTGTGGTATTGCACAAGGAAAACAAATTTATCTATGGAATTAAACAGAGTTCAGATACAGATTCACACAGAGACAATCAGTGATTTCTGACAAAGGTACCGCTACAACTCACCAGGAAAGGATTCGTCCTTTTAATACCTATCTATATGGGGGGAAGTATGTTGGCCCTTATCTCATACTAAATGTAAAAATTAATTTGAAATGGATCATAGACTTAAATGCGAAAGATTTCAAACTATAAAGCAGGACTTCCAGAAGCCAATGTGAAGAGCATGGGAGCCCTCCTCCCAGCAAAAAAACCATTTAATTGATGAAAAAAATTTTTAAAATAAAAACAGCTAATTAAGTATCAGGAAATTGTCCTAAGGACATACAGCAAATGAAGAAATGTTTATTCAAGAAATTCTACTCAATCTGTATAGAGCAGCCAGAGTCTGAGGGCGTTTAAGCCACAAATTACTCCTACTCCCCACATCCCCAGCCACCTCTGTGTAATTGAAGCTCTATTCTGGACAGTCATGGACAAGAAAATGGGACTCCACCTCTCCCCAGCTCCCAGCCTAGGGCAGTGCATTCAGTCCAGAAAGGGCAGTGCACTAGCATCTTTTATTCTGCTGTGTCCATGTTACAGATGCTCTACATCAGTCCAGAAAGGGCAACATCTTTTATCCTGCTGTTTCCATGTTGTGGATGTTCTATATTAGTTAGAAATTGTGGCTTACAGGACTGGGGCTCCTTCTCCCATCCAGCCCCTCCTCCTAGCATGGAAGTTCTATGCTAAGTTTAGTAGGTCAAGCACACTGGGCTGCATTGATCCTGCCTGAGTTTGCTCATGGGGCTGAGGTTCCACACAAGAAGGAGCAAACCGAGAAGACTAGCAGCTACCACCACCACCCAGTGTTCCAGCTGTAGAGCAGAGGCATTGCCGAAGGGTCCCTGACACCAGCTCCAGTCCCGTCCAGTGGCTCAGCGGTTCTGCAAAGGGTCTTTGGTGACCAAAGACTGGATGGTATCAACCTGAAAGAATCAAAACCCTCAGAATCTAATTTAAAGAAGGTTTCTTCCAGCACAAATTTTGAGGTAACCATGCCCAGAAACACCAACTCCAAAGACAGGAGCCAGCACCCAGAATGGGGAACGTAGGGTTTCATTTCTGTAGGCAGAGAGGCCTGGCAAAGTGGCTCACACCCGTAATCCCAAGAATTTGGGAGGATGAGGAGGGAGGATCCCTTGAGCCGAAGAGTTCAAGACCAGCCTGAACATGATGGTGAAATCCCGTCTCTACAAAAAAATACCAAAATTCGCCTGGTAGTGCATGCCTGTGATCCCAGCTCCTTGGGAGGCTGAGGGGGCAGGGGGTGTCTCGAGTTTGGGAGTTCAAGGTTTGAGCCACTGTACTCCAGTCTGGGATGACATTGAAGAGAGAGACACTGAGCAGGACAAAGACAGTCTGAGATGGGAGAGAGACTGGATATGGGCAGAAAGAACAGGAGAGTCAGGAGAGGAACTACTCTACTAAAAATACAAAATGTAGCCGGGTGTGGTGGTGCATGTCTGTAATCCCAGCTACCTGGAAGGCTGAGGTAGGAGAATTGCTTGAACCCAGGAGGTGGAGGTTGCAGTGAGCTGAGATCACAAACTGCACTTGAGCATGGGCGACAGAGACAGAGTGATATATCTATCACTATATATATATGTACGTGTGTGTACATGTATATGTGTGGGTATGTATATGTATGTATGTACATAGGTATATATACACACACATATATATCTCAGATCCTCTACTGCAAAGTCACATATCAGTGTAGGAGCTCCAATAATTTCGAAGGCAGAGGTTAAGGATTCATCAGTCGGCTACACCTACTAGGAGCTTTCTCTGTTATAAGCGGTGGTGCCCACCAGGGGATGGTCCCATGGGTAGTTCCCACATATAATCTAACCCTGTATGGGATGTTAAAAGGTGGGAGACAGGACCCAGCGGGGTGGCTCATGTGTAATCCCAGTACTTTGGGAGGCCCAGGCAGGCAGATCACTTGAGGCCAAGACTTTGAGGTCAGCCTGGCCAACATGGTGAAACCCCGTCTCTACTAAAAAAAAAAAAAAAAAAAAAATACAAAAGTTAGCCAGGCCTGTGTGGTGGCAGATGCCCGTAATCTTAGCTACTCTTGAGGAGCTTGAGGAGGCAGAGGTTGCAGTGAGCCAAGATCGTGTCACTGCACTCCAGCCTGGAGGCCACAGCAGGAAGATGGCTTGAGGCCAGGAGTTTCAAACCAGCCTGGCCAACATAGCAAGTCCCTATCTCAAAACAAAAAACAAAGCACAATATCTTGACCCAGACAGTGTGAAGGGGGCAGGTGACAGTGTTTTCACTGGAGGGAAACTCATCTTTCTGAAGGTGCCAGAAAATTTGGGACCTCCAAACTTGAACAACGTTAGCAGCTGTCTGAGGCCACAAAATGAAGCAAACCATACTGGAGAAAGAAAATCCTTCAGAGACCTGTTCATTTAGGTCATTCTATGAGTTTCAGTTGAATTTCCTAAATGTCCCTAAATTACATCCTCAGCCTGGCAAGACATCCGAGCTGGTTTGACTCCCACGTCTGGGTCCTGCTCCTGAAATATTAATGTGGATTATGGCTCCCTCCTGTGGTAGACAGAGGCATATTCAGTTTTAAATTCCTATTTCAGCCTAGCAGGGTAGCTCATGCCTGTAAACCCAGAGCTTTGGAAGACCCAGAGATCACTTGAGCCCAGGAGTTTGAGACCAGCCTGGGCAACATGGTGAAACCCCGTCTCTATTTTTTTTTTAAAGTTCTTTCTATTTCCCTCCCTCTCCTTGACTACTACTTCTACGGATTCTGACTACTTTTTCTACTAATTGTCCCTGTAAATGAGCATATATACTGACAGGATGTCTATCTGTCCCAAATAATATGCCTTTGGTCCCATCCCCACCAGGCAGGGAATGAACAAGCCATCTGTGACTCCCAGAACTTTTTTTTTTTGAGACAGGTTTTTGCTCTGTCACCCAGACTGTAGTGCAGTGGTGTGATCTCGGCTCACTGCAGCCTTAATCTTCTGGGCTCAAGTGATCCTCCTGCCTCAGCCTCCCCAGTAGCTAGAACTATAGGCCTGCACCACCGTGCCTGCCTTTTGTGTGTGTGTGTGTGTGTGTAGAGATGGGGGTCTCGATACATTGCACAAGCTAATCTCCAACTCCTGGTTCAAGCAATCCTCCCACGTCAGCCTCTCAAAACAATGGGATTACAGGCATGAGTCACTGTGCCCAGCCTGAATGTTTAGTTTTTTAAGAAACTGCCAAACTGTTTTCCAGAGCAATGTATAAATGATCCAGTTTTTCTCCATCCTTGCCAGCTCTTGGTAGTGTTGCTGTTTTCAACATTTTTAGCCATTTTGATTTAATTTGCATTTCCCTAGTGGCTAATGATGGTGAACTTTTTATTTGCCCAAGTCATCTGTAGATCTTCCTCATTCAGATGTCTCTTCATGTCCTTTAAAAGTTTTTATTTTCATTTTATTTCTTCATAGAGACAGAGTCTCACTATGTTGCCCAGGCTGGTCTTGAACTCCTGGGCTCAAGCCATCCCCCAACCTTGGCTCCACAGACTGCTGGGATTACACGTATAAGCCATGACACCAGATCCTCTTCATGCCTTTTGTCCTTTTTTATTTTTATTTTTTTTCTGAGATGAAGTCTCACTCTGTTGCCCAGGCTGGAGTGCAGTGGCATGATCTGGGCTCACGCCAACCTCTGCCTCCCAGTTTCAGGTGATCCTCCCGCCTCAGTCCCCCTAGTAGCTGGGATTACAGGCACCTGCCACCATGCCTAGCTAATTTTTTTATTTCTAGTAGAGACTGAGTTTCACCATGTTGGCCAGGCTGGTCTTGAACTCCTGAACTCATGTGATCCACCTGTCTGAACCTCCCAAAGTGCTGGGATTACAGGCATGAGCCACCGCACATGGCCTTTTGCCCATTTTTTAAATAGACTTTTTTTTTTTTTTGCTATTAAGTTTTTATAGTTCTTCACATTTTCTAGAGAATTGTCCTTTGTCAGATGTGTGCTTTGCAAATATTTTCTCCCAGACTACAGGCTATCCATCCTTCTACCTGGGTTTTTCTTTGAGCAAGAGTTTTTCATTAGGATAACATCCAATCCCTCAGTTTTTCCTTTTATGGACTGTGCTTCAGATGTCAAATCTAAGAACTGTTTGCCTGGCCCTAGATCCTGAAGATCTTCTTGTACGTTCGTTTCTAAAATTTTTGTAGTTTTATGTCTTGCATTTCAGTCTGTGATCCATTTTGAGTTAGTTTTCATATAGGGTGTGAAGGAGGAGAGAGGTGTATGTTCTTTTTGTTTTTTTCCCCTATGGATGTCCAATTGCTCAGCACCATTTGTTAAGAAGTTCTCTTCCCTTCATTGATTTGCTTTTGCACCTTTGTCAAAAATCAGCTGGGCCAAGGCAGAGTGGCTCACTGCTATAAGAAAATTGCTGTTAACTATGTGCCAACATATGAAAAAACGTAATCCTGATCAATATCCTGATAACACCACCTATCTCTTTGTCTATCGTCTTTAGCTAGATATATATAAATGCAAAGACAGAGGAGTCTAAATAAATGTATGTACTTCAGAGGGCTGGGCTGATGAAGATGTTTTGGTCCCTACCTGGGAGACACTTGAGCTGACACTGTGGGCCCCTGTGGAGCTGACTGGGGAGATTTTCCTGAATTCTCAGCTCCCGCTGGGTCTGGACACCATTTGGCTCCCGCATCAAAGGATGGCCTCACACTTCTGCTGGCCTGGGCCCTTGCACTGATTCACATCTAGAAAGGGACCAGATCATGGAGCAACCTTTGGTCTGTGTCTCAGCTAAAGACTCACAGGGTGGGATGTAAGACTGTGGATGTGTGGGTGTGGGAGGGTGAGGACGACCCCTGGACCATCCTGCAATTTCCTGTTTGCCAAAGAAGCCTCCATTTTGGAGAAGAGAGAGACACAGAGGGTGCAGGGAGCATCAGTCCTCTTCTGGCTCTCAATGAAGATGGCATCAAATCCACTATGACACATAACCTGTCTAGCACTTCTCTCACCCCAGGGCCCAGCATGTCTCTGCAGGAGGGCAGGGCAAGGTCGGCTTCTAGCTTTTCCCAGAGCCTCACTCAGGGCAGAGACACCCTAGGAGCCACCCTTCCCCATCCTGGGCTTCCAAGGATGCCCCATGGCTTCCCGATCACCCCTCCTCCCCTTCCCTCTCCCACAGCTGTCTTGGTCTCTCTGTATATCCTCAGGCTCCTCTGCTCACACAGAGCCTCAGATGAGCCCAGGAGGGACTAGGAAGCTGGGGGCGGAGTGTGGCTCCCAGGGGAACCCAGGCTGGGACCCACCTGCCACGCCCATCTGGACCTCACCAGCTCTGTCTCCTCCAGTGGCCCCCATGAGTGCTTACCTGATGCTGTGCTAGTGGCACATGAGATGTGGGGACAAGTTCTATGATGCCCTGCAGCACTGTTGCTATGACGATGCCATCGTGCCCTTGGGCAGGACCCAGGGGTGTGGAAACTGCACCTTTGGCGTGTGCTTCGAGCAGTGCTGTCCCTGGTCCCTCAGCTCCGAGGCATCCCTCGTGGTGAAGATGAAAGGCCAGAAGTGCCCCTCAGCCCTGACTTCGGATGACTGGCTTTGTCGAAGGTGAGTCCTGTCCCCTTCATGAGATTGTGGGTGCAGGGGAGCAGGGAGGCTGGGGGGCTGCACGCCTGTTCTGCCCTGGGAGGAGTCCTCATTCTCCATGTCTCCCTGTCTTTGTCCTCTTGACTCTATTCATTCCACCTCTCCTTTTTCCTCCACTTAAAAAATTAGCCACGCGTGGTGGCACACACCTGTGGTCCCAGCTACTCAGGAGGCTCAGGTGGGAGAACTGCTTGAGTTTGGGAGGTCAAGGCTGTAATAAACCATGATAGCACCACTGTGCTCCAGTGTGAGTTATGGAGACAAGGAAGGAAGGAAGGAAGGAAGGAAGGAAGGAAGGAAGGAAGGAAGGAAGGAAGGAAGGAAGGGAGGGAGGGAGGGAGGGAGGGAGGGAGGGAGGGAGGGAGGGAGGGAGGGAGGGAGGGAGGGAGGGAGGGAGGGAGGGAGGGAGGGAGGGAAACAACAATAAAAAATAAAAAGAAACAAAAAAGGTACTAGACTTGTATCCTGAAACCTAAAAGCCTCTGATAAATCAAAGACTCTCTAAAAGAATGGAAAGGTATAGTTTGTACCTGAACTAGAAACCTTAGCATGATAAACATGTCTGGAACATGTCTGGGAGGCTGATGCAGGAGACCAGCCTGGTCAACATGGTGAAACCCCGTCTCTACTAAAACTACAAAAATTAGCCGGCTGTGGTCATGCACGCTTGTAATCCCAGCTACTTGGGGGGCTGATGCAGGAGGATCGCTTGAACCTGGGAGGCGAAGTTGCCGTGACCCAAGATCACACCACTGTACTCCAGCCTGGCTGACAAAGCAAGATGCTGTCTCAAAATAAATAAATAAATAAATAAATAAGAAAAGAAAACAGAAGAATAAAGTGACAGTTAGGAGGAGGATTGTGTTGCAATTCGAGAGAGCTGGGAAGACTGTCCTTAGCATCCCTGTATCAAAATATTATAGAGTATTATTTTTCCGGAAGAGTCAATCAACTCAGGTAGAGCAGCCCTGGAGCTGGGAATTAAACCATCAAGGCTGTGGTGACTTGAGAGCAGGAGGCAGTGGCAGCTGAGCATCAAGGGTGGGGTCTCCAGCCCCGTGTGGCAGAGCTGCTCACTCCTGCCTGGCATCCTGGGTCCTGAGAGTCCCCAACTTGTTCCTCCACAATTGTCGGGGAGGTGGGTTCCTGGCCAGCTCTTTGGTTCTGGCTTCCAGAACAGCCAATTGTAGAGATCATTTTCTACCTCTAGGAATATTGTCTGCTCTGATTCTGTAAGAAAATTCCAGAAGCAGAGCTGGGCATGGTGGCTCACGCCTATAATCACTTTGGGAGGCTGAGGACGGCGGATCGTTTGAGGTCAGGAACTTCAGAGCAGCCTGGCCACCATGGTGAAACCCGTCTCTACTAAAAATACAAAATTAGCTGGGCGTGGTGGTGCACGCCTGTAATCCCAGGTACTCAGGATGCTCAGGCACAAGGATTGCTTGAACCCGACAGGCAGTGATTGCAGTGAGCTCAGATCTGCACTCCAGCCTGGGTGAGAGTGACACTCTGTCTCAAATAAATACAAAGAAAATTTCAGGAGCAGGTGCCATGGAGAAACCTCAGAAAAAGAGCCAAAGGTGACAGAATTCTTGAATAAAAATGGGTCATAAGGATTTGTATCAAAAGAAGTTGACAGTGTTTCTAGTTTGTTGAGGGTTTTGGGTCCTTCTCTCCTCCTCCCACCCTCTTCCTCCGAATGCTGTGCTTCATGAAGTGGGTTTTGCCATTCACTTTCTTATTTTTTTTTTCTCTGTTTTTGAGACAGAGTCTCTTTCTGTCACCCAGGCTGGAGTGCAATGTTGTGCTCTCAGCTCACAGTAAACTCCACCTCCCAGGTTCAAGCAATTTTCCTGCCTCAGCCTCCCGAGTAGTTGGGATGATACCTGGCTAATTTTTGTATTTTTAATGGAGATGTGGTTTCACCATGTTGGGCAGGCTGGTCTTGAACTCCTGACCTCAAATGATCCGCCTGCCTCGGCTTCCCAAAGTGCTGGGATTACAGGCGTGAGCCACCTTGCCCAGCCTTGTTTTTATTTTTCTTGTTCTGTACAATGTCTAGGGAGAATTAAATCACTGCCTTCTTTATTTTGTTTGTTATTTTTTTTGACAGCATCTGGCTGTGTCATCCAAACTGGTGCGTAGTGGCCCGATCTCAGCTCACCTCCACCTCCTGGGCTCAAGTCATCCTCCTGCTTCAGATTCCTTAGTAGCTGGGACTGCAGGTGTGTGCCACCGTGCCCAGTTCATGTTTGTATCTTTTGGTAGAGGAGGGGTTTTGCCATGTTACCCAGGCTGGTCTTAAACTCCTGAGCTCAAGCAATCCTCTTGCCTCGGCCTCCCCAAGGTGTTGGAATTACAGATGCCACCACATCCACCAGTGGTGCCTTCTCAATTAATGACCCTTGTTATCAATTAAGTTCCCCTTGGTTGTCCTGTTTTGCTTTGACCAGATGAGAGAGAAAAAATGACTATACACCCTTTGTTAAAAAAATGGGTCAGGCACGGTGGCTTACACCGGTAATCCCAGCACTTTGGCTGGCCAAGGCGGGCGGATCACGAGGTCAAGAGATCCAGACCATCCTGGCCAACATGGTGAAAGCCCATCTCTACTAAAAAAAAAAAAAAAAAAAAAAAAAAAAAAAAAAAAAAAAAATTAGCTGGGCGTGGTGGCTCTCGCCTGTAGTCCCAGCTACTCAGGAGGCTGAGGTAGGAGAATTGCTTGAAACTGGGAGGTGGAGGTTGCAGTGAGTCGAGGTCGTGCCACTGCACTCCAGCCTGGCACCTGGTGATGGAGTGAGACTCTGTCTCAAAAAAAAAAAAAAAAAAAGGCCAGGCGCTGTCGCTCACGCCTGTAATCCTACCACTTTGGGAGGCCAAGATGGGTGGATCACCTGAGGTCAGGAGTTCAAGACCAGCCTGGCCATCATGGTGAAACCCCATATTTTTTTTAAAAAATTAATTAATTTAAAAAAATGTTAAATGTGCCCCTCTCAAAAAGAAACACTGCCTATAAGCAATTTGCTGTGACTATGTGCCAACCTTGTATGAAAAATGTTGTAATCCTGATAAAAATGCCTCCATGTCTATTGTCTTTATACACACACACACACACACACACATGTACAGAGGAGTCTACATAAATGTGTGTACTTCTTTAGAGACAGGGTCTCACTCTGCTGTCCAGACAGGAGTGCCGTCCACTCCACTTCCACCCCCAGAGCCGGGCTGATGAAGATGTTTCCGCCCCTACCTGGGAGACACTTGAGCTCACACCATGGGCACCTATGGAGCTGACTAGGGAGATTTTCCTGAATTCTCAGCTCCTGCTGGGTCTGAACACCATGTGGCTCCCCCATCAGAGGATGGCCTCACACTTCTGCTGGCCTGGGCCCTCACACTGATTCACATCTAGAAGGGGACCAGGTCGTAGAGTAACCCTCGGTCCATGTCTCAGCTCTAGACTCACAGGATGGGATGTAAGACTGTGGATGTGTGAGTGTGGGAGGGTGAGGACGACCCCTGGACCATCCTGCAATTTCCTGTTTGCCGAAGAAGTCTCCATTCTGGAGAAGAGAGAGACAGAGGGTGCAGGTAGCATCAGTCCTCTTCTGGCTCTCAAAGGATCTGGCATCAAATCCACTATGACATATAACCTGTCTGGCACATCTCTCGCCCCAGGACCCAGCATGTCTCTGCAGGAAGGCAGGGCATCCCACGACATTACGAGCTCCTCGAGGAATACAGGAGCCAAGGAGCTGCTGAGATCTGCTGATCACCTGCTCACTCCACTGCAGCCACCCGGAGCCATAACTCCCAAGGCCACATCCTGAGTGAGGACAGGACCTAATTTCCACCTGAACCCATCTCCCATCTCAGCCACCACAGGGGCTCACTCCTCACCCCCAACTACACCTCACCTCTTCTTCTGTTCCCATACCCGGCCTTCTCCCCAGACATGGCTCCATCACAGCAATTCTCTATCCACAGCCCCCGGGTCAGCCCCATCCACAGCCCTGTTTCCATCCCCAGACTACTGCCCAAAGTCTTGTCTAGCACTGGTTCCAATTCCAGCCTGACCTTTTTCTAAATGTTGCTGCCGGTCACCCCCATAGCATAGCATAAGTCTCAGCACAGCCTCTTCCCTGCCTGACCCCAGCTAAGCTTCCAGCTCTGAACTCCTCCAAAACCGGGAAACAACCACAATGCCCTGAACCCTAAGGCGATTTCTTCCAAGTGTCCTGCCTGCACCCCTTGACCACAGAGAGACTGAGGGTGGAGAGGGCATCTGTCCTCTCCTGGCACTCAAAGGACCTCCTGACATTAAATCCACCACAACACATATCCTGTATGGCACCTCTCTGGCCCTGGGGCCCAGCATGTCTCTTCAGGAGGGCAGGGCAAGGTCGGCTTCTAGCCCTTCCTAGAGCCTCACTCAGGGCAGAGACTCCCTCAGAGCCATCCTTCCCCAGGCTGGGCTTCCAAGGATTGCCTATGGCTTCCTGATCACCCCTCCTTCCTTTCCCTCTCCCACAGCTGTCTTTGCCTCTCTCTGCACCCCGTCAGGCTCCTCTGCTCACCCAAAGCCCCAGGTGAGCCCAGGAGGGATTGGGAAGCTGGGAGAGGAGTGTGGCTCCCAGGGGAACCCAGGCTGGGACCCACCTGCCACCCTCATCTGGACTTCACCAGCTCTGTCTCCTCCAGGGGCCCCCATGAGTTCTTACCTGATGCTGTGCTAGCCACACCTGAGATGTGGGGACAAGTTCTATGACCACCTGCAGCACTGTTGCTATGACAATGCCGTCGTGCCCTTGGGCAGGACCCAAAGGTGTGGAAACTGTACTTTCAGAGTCTGCTTCGAGCAGTGCTGTCCCTGGTCCCTCAGCTCCAAGGCATCCCTCGTGGTGAAGATGAAAGGCCAGAAGTGCCCCTCAGCCCTGACTTCGGATGACCGGCTTTGTCGCAGGTGAGATGAGATGTTTTAATACTTCCTGTCCCAGAGGTTTATTTACTTTTTTTTCTTTAATTAGGTCGAGTTTTTTGTGTTATTTTTGTGATGGAGTTTCACTCTGTCACCCAGGCTGGAGTGCAGTGGCACTCTCTTGGCTCACTGCAACCTCCGCCTTCCGGGTTCAAGCAATTGCCTCAGCCCCCTGCATGGGATTGTTTATGCAGGGAAGCAGATGGGCTGCATGCCTGTTCTACCTTGGGTGGAGTCCCCGTTCTCTGTGTCTCACTGTCACTGTTCTCCCCACTCTATTCA